TAAACCTTATAAATCTCCGGGACCAGATGACATACTCCCTGCCGAAATCCACCTTCTTTGACCACTGCTTGCTGAGATCTTTATGGCTTGCCTTAGCCTTAGTCACATTCCTAGAGGATGGACCAAGGCTAACGTCTTTTCTTCTTAAAGCTTTAGAAAGATATAAGACAGCGCCTCTCTTCTGAGGACGTGTCGGAGTGTCAACACGCCTATTCTAAAGGAAAATCCGGAGACACTGCGCTTCACGAAATTGTGTCCAAAATTGAAAAAGGACTCGCCTTTAAGGAATTTACTTTAGGTGTCTTTCTTGACATAGAGGGCGCCTTTAATAACATTCTTCCAGAGGACATTGTGAGCTCACTTTCCCAAGTGGGCCAGGAGCGGCCTCTGGTGGAGCTTATAAGGCTTCTCCTGGAAAGAAGAATTATCTCATCAGAACTGGGGCGCTTCCATGTTTCCATCGGCATGCAACGAGAGGTGATCCTCAAGGAGGAGTTCTCTCCCTCCTACTCTGGAACCTTACAGTGAACTCAATTCTGATAAGACTCCAGAGCACCGGCTGCCACGTCGTAGTGTATGCCGACGACATTGCACTCACAGCAACGGGCAAGCATCTCCAAACGCTAAGCGAACTTCTGCAGAGTGCTCTCTGTCTCGTCAATAGCTGACCGAGGGAGTGTGGACTTAAAGTCAATCCCATAAAGACCGAAAGGATCCTATTCACGAGAAAATATAAGATACCGTTTTTTCAGCCCCCCTCCCTAAGCGGGATGGGACTTACACTCTCCAACGAGGCTAAATATCTCGGTTTAATTCTCGACAGAAAGTCGGACTGGAGGCGGAACCTTACGGATCGATCCAGGAATGTCATTACCGCCCTCTACGCCTGTAAGGAAGCGGTAGGGAAACGATGGGGTCTGAAGCCACACATAATACACTGGATGTACACGGCGGTTGTCAGACCCATCCTTTTCTATGGGATCACCGTAAGGTGGACGGCTCTAGAGAAGTCCACTTACAGAGGTGTATTGGGCTGGGTACAAAGTGCGGCAACCATGTTAATCACGGGTGCCCTGCCTTCTACTCCCTACTCTGGAGACTGTATTGAATCTTCTCCCTACCGATATTTACGGTAGATATTAGGCCAGCTGTAACGCAACTCGACTAGATGCAAGTCATACATGCAGAGGCATAAAGTTCGGTCACTCAAAGATTCTGGGCACCATTCCAGCAACCCTACACAAGCTGGAATACATAAGTCCACATTTCTGCTTCGAAAATAGGTTTTCTACCAGAATTCCAGACAGAAGCGACTGGGTAAACCGCTTGGACTTAGATCCATGTTCTACCGTTATATTTACGGACGGGTCAAAGCTCGACAACAAAGTTGGAAGCGAAATATACTCTAATAAGAACTCTCACTAAATCCAAGCAGGCGGCTCCCTGACCACTGCATCGTTTTTCAGGCCGCCCTATGGCTTAAAAATAATACAAATCGTTTACATTCTGTCACTATTTTTTCTGCCAGCCAAGCAGCGATTAAATCTTTAAAGTGCAGTAACACTTCCTCAAAAGCTGCTGCCGAATGCAGAAGTACCCTAAACGAGCTTGCCACGAAAGTCACCATTAACGTGGTATGGGTACCGGGCACAGTGGAATACCGGGAAACTGCGCGGCAGACGAGCTTGCGAGGGGGAACTGAACTACGCTCAGCAAACTCTGCGCTCGATGCAGGCGTTCCCCTGTCTTCGAGTAAGCACCGATTGAAATCTATCTTCATTAAATTGGCCAACCAACATGCTCTGTTACAAAACAGATCTGGCCATTTATAAACGAAAAACGATCTAAAATTCTTATACAAATCGACCGCCCCATTATTAGCACTGTGGTCGGTATAATTACAGGACACTGCCTAATGGGCGCGCATACTAGGCAAATGGGTTATCCCGATAACGATTTCTGTCATGCCTGCAGGGACGAGGAGGAGGTGGAGAGCGTAGAACACTATCTCTGCCATTGCCCCGCCCTGGCAAAGTCAAGACTTGCTTTTTTTAACGAACATACTTTTCGGTGTTTAGCCGATCTCGACTCTGTGGACGTCCGTGGCCTTCAACGATACGTTAAGGTTACACGATGGTTCTATCATTTGGGAAACTCAGGGAAAGGAACAAGAGCTCGTTCATAGCGGCATCACAATGGGTCAAAGTGGCCAACGTGTATCTCTCTCCGTGCGGAGTGACAACCACCCTAACCTAACCTAACCTAAGTGGAATTCTCCTTTCTGTGTTGCCGCAAAAGGGTGGTGGACGAATTTTTGTGCAGAACTTCTTTCTGCGTAGGCGACCTTCGGCCGCGCTTAGGGATTATATTCCTTACTAAGTAGAAGTAAATAATTCATACTAGAAAAATACGAAATTTTCAATATGCTCACTTTCGTTAGAAATGTTATAATTCATATTTATGTAAAATTAAGAAGAATTTAAATAACAATCCTAAATCATTTTATGGTTTCGTAAATTCAAAGCGTAAGGCACATGGTTTTCCGTCCGCTATGCATTATCGCAACACTGTATCTAGCGACAGCCAACTCATTGCCAACATGTTTGCTCGGTTCTTTAGGTCCAATTATTCTGTAGACTTCCCTATAAGTGGAGACTATCCGTACGAGCTTTGTCCAATCAACTCTGCTTATATTCCAGTAATATCTTCCGATGAAGTTTTACACTCTTTAAAAACCTTAAAAGCGTCATTTAGGCCTGGACCTGATCATATTCCGACCTGTTTTCTTAAAAACTGCGCTGAGAACATCTGCGAGCCTTTAACAACTCTATTCAATTTGTCACTTAAACATGGCGTTTTTCCGTCAGCCTGGAAGGAGTCTTTCATAATACCACTTCACAAAAACGGCAGCAGGTCGTCTATAGAAAACTATCGAGGCATAGCGAAACTCTCCGCTATCCCCAAATTATTCGAAGCAATTATTGTTAACCAGCTGACATATTCTATATCTTCTTCAATTACACAATCTCAACACGGGTTTTCTAAAGGAAAATCTACTATGACTAATTTATTGGAGTTTACAACTCATGTCTCAAACGGTTTTAGAGAAAATGCTCATACCGACGTAATATACACCGATTTCAGTAAAGCTTTTGACAAAGTATGTCACTCGTTACTCATCCGTAAACTCGACCTAATCGGCTTTCAGCCCAGTCTTCTTCAATGGATCTCATCTTACCTCTCTGATAGAACACAAAGAGTTATTGTTAATAATTGTTCTTCCAACATCATTAAAGTTTCTTCAGGAGTTCCTCAGGGAAGCCACCTTGGTCCGATTCTGTTCCTGATATTCATTAATGATATTTCTTCTATAATAAAACATTCAAAAATTTTAATGTATGCCGATGATGTGAAACTTTTTAAAACATTGTCCTCTATCGAAGAAAGGTCTTTGTTACAAGCGGATCTGAACAACGTGGTTAGTTGGTGTAATACAAACTATATGCCACTAAACCTTCAAAAATGTAAAGTTATGTGTTTCTCTCGGAGGGCTTTTCAACCAGCTGTTTATTCAATATCCAATTAAAATCTGGAGCAGGTGTCCAATTTTGTCGATCTTGGTATCACAATGGATTCCAAACTCAATTTCAACCATCATATTAATGTCACAGTCAATAAAGCCAGTGGAGATCTAAAACTATTCAGCTACATAATCAAATTCATCAGCTGATTGGATATGCTAAAGATAGTATTTCAATTATTGAGAGTGGAAATAACAGTTTTCTTTATAGTAAAAATCGAGTCCGATACGTCAAACGTGCTGGAATGACAGTTAAAATCTTGACATAAACCACGGAATGATTCGTTTAGTTCAAAATTAGTTTTGTATGGCTTTAAAAATAGAGGTCGGCACCAAAAATCTAAAAAAAAAGGTTCCGTACGTCATGCGGACTGCGCCCCTCGTGTCGGTTGGGCGGGAATGGAGGGTAAAAAGCCTTTGGGATTATTTATTTATATTTATTCGTTAAAAGTTCGATATAATGCTAATATGAACAAGTAAGTCTTAGCAAAAAAAAAAATCGGCATAAAAAAATATATATATATATTTATATATTTCATGAGTCAATGATCGGATCTAAACCAGTAGTATGGGACCACCTCTGAGACACTACCTTTCCGATGCAACAAGAATTATCGAAATCGGTTGACGTGGTCCAAAGTTATGCGGTAACATACATAAAAAAAAAAAAAAAATATTCCGACGAACTGATAACCTCCTCCTTTTTTGGAAGTCGGTTAAAAACCGAAATAAAGCATGCATGCACAATTTCGGTTGAAAACAGAAATAATGCATATGTGAACATTGAAGTAATGCATACATGCACAGTTTCGGATGAAATCCGAAATAATGCATATGTGAAAAACGAAGTAATGCATACATTCTCAGTTTCGGTTGGAAACCAAAATAATGCATATGAGAAAATACCGAAGTTGTGCATATGCATTCGTTTTAAAAGCGAAACAAGAATTATCGAAATCAGTTGACGTGGTCCAAAGTTATGCGGTAACATACATAAAANAAAAAAAAAAAAAAAAAAAAAAAATCCGACGAACTGATAACCTCCTCCTTTTTTGGAAGTCGGTTAATAAAGCATATGTGAACATTGAAGTAATGCATACATGCACAGTTTCGGATGAAATCCGAAATAATGCATATGCGAAAAACGAAGTAATGCATACATTCACAGTTTCGGTTGAAAACCGAAATAATGCATATGAGAAAATACCGAAGTTGTGCATATGCATTCGTTTTAAAAGCGAAATAATGCATATGAAAAACAAAACGAAATAAAGCATACTCGCACAGTTTCGGTTGAAACCGAAATAATGTCTAAATGCACAGTTTCCAAATGCGCAATTGCGGTACCCCTATTTACTTATGTAGTATGACTATTGACAAATTGGAGCATTTACATAGTATACTTTTTGTATATTTTCAGACTTTCTGATTGCCGGAGTAACTGTAAGAAATATGGTGGTGGAATTTTCTTCGGCGGCACAAAGTTTAAATATACTGGCCGTACAGAGCGAGAAATTTTGAGTGATGATATATCTACATCGAATTTAATCTTCGAAACCAATGAGGATATGAAAAAAGCGAATAGTGTACCAACGACTCCATCTAGTCCAAAAGAAGATCTGTGCCATATCAGTAAAGTATATTTATTTGCCATATTTTATGTACTTCCCACAAAAGCACTATAGCGTTTTTCGAATACAATCAACCCTCAAAAACCACGATCAATTTAGCCGTTTTCATACAAATTGATATAAATTCAAGCAGATGTATTTATTTATATACAATATCTAAATGGTATATGAATACCTCCTCACATCTTCTGTACTAATAAATAAAATTGATTATATGAAAAATATTTGTCCAGATTTGGCTCTCAAAGTGCTGAACCGATTTTAATTTTTATACCCGAGCGCACTTGTGCACAAGGGTATATTAATTTTTATGTATACATTTGTCTATATCTATCTCGATTCGTTTTGGCTGTTACAAACAACCGTTATGTGAACAA